AGCTTCCAATTGCTTTAGCATAAGGAACATCTAATGGTTTTTACCCCTCTCTAGGGTTTTGCTCTTTACATAATCTCTTTCGCTGACCAACAGAGTTGGCGTCGGATTGAAATTCTCCATTCCAAACCTTTTAAGAACTGATCTTAAATATTTTTCTTGGTTTAAACTCAGCATTCTAGACTTTCTATCTCGAATTATTTGAATTCCAAGAATATATGATGTCTCTCTCATGTCTTTCATCTCAAACTTTTAACTGAGATCTGCCTTGATTTTATTCAACATTTCTATGTCATTTTCAACATGCAATATATCGTCCACATATAAGGATAGTATAGTAAATTTGCTCTTATTTTTCAAGACATATGCACAATTAGCTAATTTATTTTGAATAAAATCAAGTTTAGTGACCGCATCATGAAATTTAAGATACTATTGTCTAGAAGACTGTTTTAAACCGTATAGAGATTTTATTAATTTATAAATTTTATGTTCCTGTCCTTTCATCTGAAAATCTTCAGGTTGTATATATGATATATCGCTTCCTTCAACTCTTCGTTAAGAAATGTAGTTTTAACATCTATTTGGAATAACTCCAAATCAAGATATGCAACAATAATCAAAATAATTCTAATGGATGTAAATTTAGCTACAGGAGAATACATCTCCTGAAAATCTATTCCTACCTTCTGGTTGTAACCATTGGTAACTAACCGTGCTTTGAATTTATCAATAGATCCATCAACATGATATATTTTTTTAAGCACTCATTTGCATCCTATAGGCTATAGCTTTTCTATTTTCTGGTAGATCACATAACTCTCATACCTTATTCTTTTCTATAGAATCAAATTCTTCTCTCATGGATTCTAGCCATAAAGCTGATTCATGCGATTTCATCTCATCAGAGAAGATTAATTGATCTTGTTCTTTTATATTTGTATCTATCGAGAAATAGGATGGCTCACATGAATACAAATAGTAATCATCCATCCATAAAGGTTGTATTTTTAGCCTTTTGTTACCTACAACCGGTTGATGAGGTACATTATTTTCCATAGATATTTTATCATTTTTAAGGTTAGGTTTATTCACAATACCAGGATCATTAGTAGAAACAACATCGTAATAATCATCATCTATTACAGTTAGAGGTTCTGTTTCCTCTAGAACTTGTTCCTCTTCCTCTATGTTCTCTAGAAATGTAGCATCTCTGTTTTTAATGGCCCATTTTTCTTTATTGTAGAACTTATAACTTTTTGACTTTTCTGAATATCCTATGAATCTACTACTTTACTGTTTTAAAATCCAACTTATCTCTAAGTTGATACGGAATGAGAACATGGGCTATAAATCCCCACTTTCTGAGATGATTCAGATTAGGTTTCCTTCCATTTTATAATTCATAAAGTGTAGATGCAACTGATTTAGTAAAAATTTTATTTAAAATATAGTTTGTAGTTAACAATGCTTCTCCCCAAAAAATTTTGGAGAGACCAGAATGAGACAACATGCATCTAACTACATTCAGTAATGTTCTGGTTTTTTTATCAACAACATCATTCTGTTGTAGTGTATACGGTATTGTTGTATGCTTTTTAATCCCATGTTGAATACACTAACTCTCAAATTATTTAGAGTTATATTCCCTACCTATATCAGTTCTTAAAATTTTGATTTTCACTCCAAGTTGGTTTTCAACTTCTGTCTTATATCTCTTAAAACAGTCAAGAGCTTCTAATTTTCTAAATATAAGATAAACGTGTGCAAACTTAAAATAATCATCCATAAAAGTAATAAAATATTCTTTATTACGATGAGTTTTGATATTTAGGGGACCACAAATATCCGAGTATATCAACCTTAAAAGTTCATTGGCTCTTTATCCGCCAATAAAAGATTTTCTAATCATTTTACCAGTTAAACAATGTTCACATTGTGGCAATTAAATATTCAATAGTGCAGGAAGTAAGTTCATTTTTATAATTTCTTTTATTTTTGAAATACTACCATTTCCTAGTCTAGAATGCGACAATTCAGACTCTAAAATATAACAGGACAATTAGTTCAAATTCAAAATTTTATTATCAGAATTATTATAAACTATTGGAAGAATGCATAATTCATGCTTGGACACATATTTTCTCATAGCATATATTTTATTATTTTTGCCTACAGAAACCCGATTATTGTAGAACCCAACTCCCAGTCATTTCTTCATTAAGCTGGGAACATAGATCAGATTGCGCCGAATTTCTGGTGCATAGAACATATCTTTGAGGACAAGAATATTGTCCCTAATATTCAATCTATACGAACCATTACCTTCTACATCTAGATAGGTATTATTTCCCATATAGATTATATGTTCTCCTTTCTTTAGCTTGGTGAATTCTGTGGCTCCATTCTTATCCTTTGCGATATGTCTAGTCGCATCGGAGTCGATCCACCAACAGCTTATATCCGTCATCAGAGTATTGTATTCTGTCACACCGACGAATTCTCTTTTGCTAGTACCCCCTTATTCTGGATGCTTATAGCCTTCCTTATTCTCCTGTTTTTCACCTTGCGGGCAATTAGGCTTGAAATGCCCAAACTTTTCATAATTGTAGTAGGTTTCGTGGAGTATTTTCTTTCTCTTGAACTGTTGCGATTTCAGTCCTTGCGGTTGTGGTTTACTAGGACCAGAGTTTTTATAGCTTCTAGCATTATATCTTTGGCGGACATAATTTAACTTTTGCTGCACCATATTCAGTTCTGGTTCTTTCCTACTGGCTATTAAGTCATGTTATATCGCTAGGTGCATAGGAAGATCAGTGACATATTTAATGATAGGGTTCATTATTAATGTGATGGCAGCCACAGTAAGGGAAGGGGGTAGACTATTCAAAATGGTTGTCACTTACATTATTTCTGAGATTTCTATCCCAGCAGTGGATAAGTCCTTAGCCATGACAATCATCTTGTTAATATGTTCTGTTAATATGTTCTGTGATATTGTCTCCCTCTTGTATACGATAAGAATTATACTTATGCAAGGGGAGTTGAATGTTAGCTTCAGAGGTGGTGTCGTATTTTTCTTTTATAGCATTCCACATATCTATGGAAGTCTTATAAGTTTTAAAAATTTTGATTAAGTTATCTTCCATGAACATGAGCATTAGACTTTTTGCCTTTTTATCTTTCGACTCACTGTTCAAACTCTTTCTTTTCTTCAGGTGTAGATTTATCGGTAAGGGTTGGAGCAATGGTTTCTATTACATCGTCGATATTATCATGAATAAGAGCATATCCTATTTTTTTATGTCACATATCATAATTATTGTCATTAAATTTATTAATTTTTCCTAGTTCTGATAGAACTAGTTTACTAGCCATTCGGTAGAGAACTAAAATTAAAATTTAATTTTAAAATATGTATAAGGTTGGTATATAGACAATTATACTAAAAATAGAATAAAGTTAAAAAAATAAAATAAATTAATTAATTAAAAGAACCTGATTGTTTCGAGTTGAGAAAGGAAACTCCAATTCGAGCGAGATCGTAACCTAGTGGTGTTGAATGGATAAGCACTTGTCGAAGTCGGTTCTGACTGGATTTAGAGATAATCTGCTGCTGTCGTTGAATTGCACCGGATAGAATTTGCGAAGAATTGTTCGGACAACCCCAATTGATTGAAAGTGGATTTTGAATTGTGCAAGGGGAAAGCAAATTTTCCCTCAAGCTAGAAATGGCTCCTTTTCAACAAAAAAAAAATTGGAGGGGCCGAACAAAAATTTTCTTTGAGTCACTGCAAAAAATGGAGGGGCCGAACAAAAAAAATTGGCGTTTTTTAAAATCTTTCTCTAGCTTTCTCTCTAGCTCTCTAGCCTTTTCTCTCTCTAGCTTTCTCTCTCTTGCTCTCTAGCCTTTTCCCTCTCTCTAGCTTTCTCTCAACACACACCTAGCAGGAGGTGATTTTCTCGGTCAAAGTGAAGAAATGAAACCAAGGAACAATGAACGAAAGATTAAAATAATAAAAAAAACTTGGGAAGCGAAACAACCAAGGTTCACGTGGAAGTGTACGAAATGATTAAAAACCAAGGTTCACCAAAGATTAAACTAGCAGTGTACGAAATGATTGATGGGCAAAGATTAAAATTTAAAAAAACAAAAAAATGAGAGAACAACTTCCAAAGCTTCACGTGGAAGTGTGGCTGAGCACGGTTTTTGATTGAAACAGAATACTCTCTTTTCTCTATCGTACAAAAGAGTGAAACTAGTTTTTTTTCTTATGGAAACAGAAGGGAACGGATCTTTGATTGCTCTGATACCAGTAAAAGGATAAAAGAGGGTGGTTTTTATTTGAGGTTCTGGATAAAAACTTTTATGGTTTTCTGTGTATCTCAACAATGAGATAACCCTTCCTTTTATAGAGGCTTTCCAGTAACCACCTCCACCCCAAATCGAATCAGCCTCCATAATTTCCTCTAACCATCCACAAATCCCTCTTCTACAGATATTAAGGAAGTTATGCTAACAACCCAATAATATCTAGGGAATATTCCTTGGTTGGTTTGGTCAATAATTGACCGGGTCACATTAACAAAGATCACTTAAAATTGTAAATCTTCTCTCTCATAAAGATATTTCGTTTGGTGGTAATGTTAGTTAACAAGTGCTCCATCACAGATTCAACAGTGACCTACCATTATTTTCCACTCATATTTCCCCCTTTGGAATTTTAACCGACAACATATTTCAGTTGGTGGTTGCAAGGAATTTTAAATGCTTAATGCCTTGCTTTCATCTATATGTGTATGTTTCTTCTAGGAGTTCACCAAGTTTCTGTTGGTTTTATCTATATTATTACCTTTCCAATTGAGTAAGCTTTTTTCATGTTCTTCTACCCTGTGTTTGATTTCTCAGTCGACCAATATCATAAAGATACATTAACTACCACTTATTTTGAAAACATAGAACCATGCCACTTTATCTGACGTTGATATTGATCTTGTGGCAGAAAACTTGGCATTTCTGAAGGCCTTCAAGATGTTTGGTTTGTCTCATTATCAACATATCATAGGCAATGGCAAATCAAACTAACATAATCATTATTGGGGTCTCTGTCGGTGTTGCGGTTGGAATCTTGGTGGCATCTTGCGCATTTATTGCTATAAGGTTTTATAGAAAGCGGTCTCATGTCCAAAATCGTTCAGTTGAGAGTGCATCTACTCTTCCCATTCGTGTAAATGGGATCGATGCAAGTATTGATTCTAGTGCTTCGATCGCAGTTTCTGAGATTGGGCATGGTTTACATGATATTGGGAAGAAAAACCACTATTGGGGTCGAAGAGGAAATCCAAGCAAAGATCTACTTCATTCCTTATCAGGCATTCCAAGATATGTGTACAAGTATGCAGTCTCCAACCTTATTTTTTCTTCCTTGACTTCTTCTCTGATTTTAAACTCATTATTCTATAATGTGCCCCAATTGATTCTTATAGTTTCCTCGATGAGAACTCTGCTTTAAGTTCAAGGAGTGAAATATGATCCTTTTGTACTTTATTAGTTTTCAGTATAGCATTTACCAATTTCCAGTTACACTCTTCTTCTTATTATTACTTATAGTCCTGAGAAGTGCACTGCCCTAGCAAAATCAAACGTACTTTATGCAATGAGGGATTAATAATTCCAAATGGGAAAATCCCCAAAATAGTCAAGTATGTTGGCTCCTAAGTCATGGTAGAATGGTAAAATTACCATACAAGTTTAATAAGGATTTTTTTTTAATTCATTTGAAATAACTACTTAGAATTTGAGTGAAGTATGCTGTTTTACCAGAGAAACAATCTCAATTTAAGTTTAGGGATTTCAGAAAGTGGTTCAAAAGTAACGACTTAGTAGTAGCCTATAGGTGGTCCTTGTTTTGATTCTTTGAAGAAACATCGATGATGGCTTTAAGCATACTGTACTTTGAACTGAAAATACGAAGTAGTATTAAATTTCAGAAGGATTTTGCTGAGAAGTCTTGAGTATTGGCTGGAAGAGAGAGTACAATTATGAGGATAGGGTTTTTGCCATTTGAGCTGTTAAGTTGAGATAATCAATAATGAAAGGTAGCCTCTTTTTCACTTAAGAAAGGGGTATTCTGACATTGTTTATGAGCACAAAGGCAAAGAAAATTTATCCTCAGGCCTTTGCGTGCTTGTTTTTCAGTTTTAGGATGGACTCAATAGATATTGAACTTAACACAATTTACATAATCTATATATAGTTTAAAATGAACTACAAAATTTACATATTCGCTGTGGATTTTCGTACAATGTATTGAAATCAACAGTTACTCCAGGGTTGAGCTTCTTCCCTCAGTTGCATATGCAACGTAAAACTAGATGCATTGTGGTACTATGAAATCAGTCTTTTCCTTGGCCAATGCTTCAAGTTCTTATGATTTTCTTTAATCCGCTTAGACATAGGATGCTTTTGTTACATATTTATATCATGAATACCTTTGTTTCCCAAACTCTGTGAAAATACATCTATGTCAGTGGATTTGCCTTGTGATTTAATTATGGATGGTAATAAACCCTGTTGCTTTATCTAGGGACATTCAGAAAGCTACACAGAATTTTACAACTATTTTAGGAGAAGGATCTTTCGGTCCAGTCTACAAAGCTATAATGCCTACAAGTGCAGTAGTAGCTGTAAAGGTGCTTGCAAATAATTCCAAGCAAGGGGAGAAAGAATTCCAAACAGAGGTACTTTCGGGTCTACAAACTTAACATTCTCTAAGCAATATCTTTTTATTTCCTCAGGGATACTGCCTTTGGAAAGTATTTGCTATTCTTTAACTTTCTCAAGGTGCTTACATTTGTTGTGACAAGCTCACTAATCGAGCTAAACTGTAACTCCTCACAGAATGATGCTCTGAATAGAAAACTTGAAACATATCACAATCATACATGATGAGTTGATAGAAATGCATATCTATGTCTGCTATAATTTTTCAGTTCTGCAAAAAAGTAATGACACGATCATTAACCTATTTCTTTTTGTTCAGAATTAGAAATTGTAACATGCTTATTCTTGTTTTATGGTTATATTGTCGGGACGCCATTAGTTTTGCAATCATTTAATATGTGGTTAAACAATCATCAAAATTCATTGATGTTTTGTTTCATATAACTTTTAAAACATGTAAACCAACATGAAGATAATGGACCGTCCAATTTTAATTTGTACTTTTGGTCATCTATTTTGAGCCCACCAGATTCGTACATAAGGAAACTCAAATTATTCACCTTTAGAATTTTAGGCTTCCTAAGTATTGTCAATCAAAATGAACAGAGTGAGCCTCTAATTCAATTTCAATTGCAAATATTTGCTTTTGAATATTTTCAGAAGAAACCAAGTAAAAGTCTACGCATAGATCATCAAGGTTTTACTTTTACCAAAATGCAGTGATGAATCTACTTTTGGTTGTATTTTTTTGCTTTTATAACAGTAATTGAAGTCTTTATTTCATCCTACATAAATTGATATGTCGATGACTAAAAGATGTTTCTCTTGTTCCCATGATATAATGAACAAAACACTTTGATATGTAGACAACAGCATTTGAATTGTTGGACCTCTAAGCAGGCTTGGTTATTGAAGTTATAAAGTTGATCGTGTTTGGTTAAGTTGTTTGAGGATTTGGCTCCCTGATCTGTTAGTAATTAGCAAATGGCCAATTGATATCTTTCTGAACCGATGGGATTTTAAGGGGCTTTTGTATATATACCCCTCAAATCTTCCATATTTGTAATATTACCCACCAAATCTTGGTATTTGCAAAATTAACCCCCAATTCTCTCATGTTTCTGCCCTTCCAACTTAACAATATTGGTTTCTCAATAGGACAATGTAAAAAAAACTGATAATTTCCAGTACGTTTGCAAGATTTTTTGTTTAAAAACTAAAATCGTTAAGTGAGAGGGGTAGAAAAACTCAATGTGAGAGAATTAGGGGGTAATTTTGCAAATATTAAGATGTGAGGGGTATATATGCAAAAACCTTTTTTTAAAAATTGGAAGGTGTTTGTACAAGACACTTGCAGCTGTATAATGAAATGCAGTTGACTGTTGAAATTGTGTTTCCGCTTAGTATATAATATCATACTCCATTATGTCCTGCAGGTTTTGTTGCTTAGTAGACTGCACCATAGGAATCTTGTGAATTTGGTTGGATACTGTGTGGATAAAGGCCAGCACATGCTCATCTATGAGTTCATGAGCAATGGAAGTCTGGCTAGCCTATTGTATGGTAAAGTTTAAATCTGCATTATCGATTAAAGAAAGTTTATGCACATTGACTTTATCTTACAAAAGAGTAACTTTTGCATCTATTCTGTTTACAGTAATCAGGTTATGCATTGATTTACATCATTAATATGGAAAAGTCGTCCTTTTGATGTTTTTCATATGTTCAATAGCGAGTTTGGAGAAATAAACATTTTCTGGGTAATATAATTACATGAAAATGCGAGTGAAACATTATTCAATGTTATAATCCTATCGGAGGACTTCATTAGTTTATCTATTGGTATCTATCGATTTATAGTCATCTTGAGGATATTACAGAACTGTAAGTATGCTCTTTTGCCTCGAGTTTCAAGTGTCATCAGTCCTCTAGATCCTTAATTTTCTCTTTGTCAAAATGTAAGTTCTTTCATATCTCCTATAGCCTGCTAGCAAAATCTCTCTCTCTCTCTCTCTCTCTCTCTCTCTCTCTCTAGGTCGTCTATGTTATAATCCTTTTTTTGTGTGTTTTTGGTCGATAACGCATGTTTGTGTCCATATTTTAAAGGCTCTCTAGGTCGTCTATGTTATAATCCTTTTTTTGTGTGTTTTTGGTCGATAACGCATGTTTGTGTCCATATTTTAAAGGCTCTCTAGGTCGTCTATGTTATAATCCTTTTTTTGTGTGTTTTTGGTCGATAACGCATGTTTGTGTCCATATTTTAAAGGCTCTCTAGGTCGTCTATGTTATAATCCTTTTTTTGTGTGTTTTTGGTCGATAACGCATGTTTGTGTCCATATTTTAAAGGGAAAAGTTTTGCTTAAATATATTAAGTTGCAACCTGCAAGCTATGAAATTGTCTCTCTCTCTCTCTCTCTCTCTCTCTCTCTCTAGGTCGTCTATGTTATAATCCTTTTTTTGTGTGTTTTTGGTCGATAACGCATGTTTGTGTCCATATTTTAAAGGCTCTCTAGGTCGTCTATGTTATAATCCTTTTTTTGTGTGTTTTTGGTCGATAACGCATGTTTGTGTCCATATTTTAAAGGGAAAAGTTTTGCTTAAATATATTAAGTTGCAACCTGCAAGCTATGAAATTGCTTCCTTAACTGTGATACTATGATCTTGTTTTGAGATGCTTGTATATCTTGAACTCCAATTTCTGCTGTTTGGCCGGATACGTACTTTAGAAGCATCAGCTCCTTTTTTAAGTCATTGTAGTGTACAACCTCTCAATAAATCTTGTTATTTGAATCTTCTCATTTTGTGAGTGAAAGCAAAATTTGATGGAAAACTTTAAATTGCAACTAGCGATGTAATTAGGAAGCCACCAAAAGTTTATATCCATATAATTCTATAATTGAAAATTCTGGATATCCAGTTACATATATGTAATAATATGACCCTAGAAGGCATTACTATTTGGAGACCAGATAAGACAATGTAGATACCCTCTTTCAGTGTTTGATTTTAAACTATGACATAAATAGTAACCGTTTAATATGGGTTTATCAGTTTTCTTCAGGAAACTTCAGTCTTACATAACTCCATCTTATACTTTCTTTGTTGTTCAACCTTTATTTGTTGTTATAACCTTCTATGCCTGCAGAGGAAAATATGCTCCATAGACAGTTTTTTTTTTTTCTAAACATCAGAATCTGTAAAGTCTGTTAAATTGCATGGTTCATGAATTTTTTTCATATTTTGTTCCGTATACTGTTTTAATATGTATTGCGACTGCATTAATGTTTGTCTCATGTGGAGATGTAGGCGATAATACCCGAAACTTAAGCTGGGAACAAAGGCTGCAAATTGCACTTGATGTTTCACATGGAATTGAATACCTACACGATGGGGTATGTAATGATTATGACTGTGGTTTTATATCAGAGACTGTTAATCTTTTTCTCGTTCTCATGTGTGTCATGTTTCTTGAAACAGGCAGTTCCACCCGTTGTTCACCGGGATCTAAAATCTGCCAATATTCTTCTTGACAAGTCAATGAGGGCTAAGGTAAAGCACTTTTGCAATATTTGCATTTACCCACTCCCATCTAAACTCAAAAACTTGATAAGATAAATTCAAACCTTTTCATTTGCATGTCATATAAGGGACATGTTTTACCCTAGTCTCGTGGAATATTAGTTTACCTATTTACTACTTGTTTCTTTGTTTATGGTATGTAAATAATTATTAAGGTTTGGTTAAATGCCACCGTCTTACTAACCTGTTCACTGTTCACAACTTCAATTACCTCTTAAACCTACAACAGAGACCTTTTGTAACCGTATCATCTCAGCAGCATATTGACTTTGAACATGAAATGTAATTTTAATGAAGTGTGAAAAGCAATGAGCGTTAACACATCTTAATCTTTCTTCCAGTTTTTAGAAAATGAAGTTTTAACTTCATGTGTACGTACTAAGATCGATCATTGAAATTAAGAGATCCTGACATCATGCTCGATGTTTGCAAAAGATTCCTGATCTTTGTCGGCTAATAAAAAATTCTCTAGTTTAATCCATGCTTCAGTAAATTAAATAAAACCTGAAATCTCAGTTTTTCAAATCTGTTGTCTCTATAACATGATTTTCAAATAAAGAGAATACCACTTAATTACTTTGCACTACCTAAATTTGCAAGCATGGATATGGCAGGTAGCAACATGATTTCTTAAACTAAACTAGATAAATATTTGGAACTTTTCGTTATTATTTTATGATTTTCAATGTTTCTCCTCAATATCACTTTAACACGGTGAAGCTTTTCATGGTGTTCTTTAACAGGTAGCTGATTTTGGGCTTTCCAAAGAAGAGGTTTATGATGGAAGAAACTCGGGTCTTAAGGGAACGTATGGCTACATGGATCCTGACTACATGTCAACAAACAATTACACAAAGAAGAGCGACATATATAGCTTTGGCATAATATTATTTGAACTTCTAACATCCATAAATCCTCAGCAAGGTCTGATGGATTACATCAATCTCGTAAGTTCTTATTTCATTCATGGTACATATCTCTAAATATAGTCTAAGGTATCCATGAGAACGGCGGTTAGTGTTTTAAACGGCTAAAGTCTTTAACTATAAGTGATATTGAATAGATACGAGTAACATCTTTCATGCAGATGGGAATGGATTTCAGATAACTATTCCTGACACGCAAATGTATTGAATAGTTCCACGTGATGTATATGATAAAGGGAGCTCTGTTATATAATACTTCCTAGGAATTCAAGAATTAGTCATAGCTGACAACTTTTGGGGGTTTTTCGATATTAGTCCCTTAAAATCTTTCATATTTTGAAATGAATCCCTCAAATCATTGAAACTGCTATCAGGTCTCCCGATACTTAAGCTATTTTGAAATTAGGCGCTCCACTCAACAGCAGAAGTAGCAATTAGAGGGATTATTTGAAACAACTTATGGGAGTTGGGGGGACTAACTTCAAAATTTGAAAGATTTATGGGACCAATGTCGAAAAAACCCATACTAAATGGTACCACTTGCCCATTTGAATGCTATCCTTCATTTCTTTCAGGCGGCAATTGGAGGAGAGGGAAAGGCCGATTGGGATGAGATAATCGATAGCAAGCTATCATGCATGAGCAATATCGAAGAGATCAGGCAATTAGCTGATATAGCTCACAGATGCTTACACAAGATTCCGAGGAAACGCCCTTCAATAGCTGACGTTACTCATGCTATATCGAGAATAGGAAGAAGACGTCTAAATAGGGATGAAACCCTGTCAATAGCTGGAAGCATCAATGCGTTAGGGTTTTTGAAAAGGCTAGAACGTCAGCAAGTCGAGCTTAGCCACTTGACCAGCATCAAGGAGTCCCCAGCTGCTGTCGTTTGACTTGTTGAAAGATGGTTCTCTCTATATATATATCAGGCTAAGAGCAGCTTCTATAAGGGCCAAAGTGATTTCATATTGGGTGAATATGGGATGATCGGCTTCGTGACAATTTGCTAACCTCCTCCTCAAATTTGTACTTGGGCATTTGCCATATTGAGCTCGGGTACAATATATCAAGTTTGAGCAGTGTCGACTTGTTCTGAAATTTGAATGGGCAGAGAACAGTAAAATCATTGATATGAAGATAAAGAAAAGTTTGTACAGTGGAAATTTTACAATTTGATGAATGTTTCTGGACGGTTCAAAGAAAGTTACCGGCTGGCGACCCTTGGTGTTTTTCCTAGAGTAGCATCTAATTGTGCTCTATTTCCTTCCTTCTTTTGATCAATGAATCATTTTGAAATTTTCAACAAATACCTATTATCACTCTTTTTTTTCCCCTTCCTGGGTCGATGATTCTGCCAGTTCTTTTGCTTTCCCTGCTATGTTTGCATGTATCGTGTCGTCTGTATTTCTCGAAATGCATAAGAATTAGATGCTGATTGTGCTTTTTTTTCTCCTTCAGTTATCATTCTTCTTATTATTCCTCGTCTATTTTGTTATGAATACAGAAAAAAGTACAGGTTCTGTAGTCATACATACAAGAGTATAAATTATTCGGTTATGTTTGATTTTGCTGTCAACCAGAACAAAGTCTCTATTGATCCAATGAGAATATTGTGCTAGATTTACCTTTAGATAATCGTACTCTTCTACACTGAGGAATACTACGTGCTTGCACTATGGATGATCCGCAGAGCAAGAGTTTCAATTGGTTTGTAACCTGAGGAATACAAGTCTTCATGTGGATAGAAATTAGCATGCGGTCGCCGAGGTGTGTTGCGGGGAAAAAAAAAAGCTCTTGATATTTTACTATATCAACATCATGATCCCTGACGTTCGAACGTAGTCATGTCTTATCTGTCGCGGGTGATCTGGACCATAAAGATGTTCCAATATAACACCCACGATCTTGAAAAACAATGATAGGGGCATACTCTCTACCATACTTCCAACCACACCACCTCTTTTGTTACAGTACACGGGGCCCACATGAGATTTTAATTTTTAAAATTTTATGTGGACCCTGTGTACTGTAGCAAGAGAGGTGGTGTGCTTGAGAGTGTGGTAGATGGTGTGCCCCTAGTGCCTCTCGATCTTGAATTGCACCCAGATTTTGTCAAATATACCGCAAATACCTGGTGGGCCCCACAAAGGCACGTGCCATCATTTGTATATCAAGCTCTTGCAATTTTTGGACATCTGGTTGGGCCCACAAACACAAGTGGCTTATTCCATGATGTATAAAGAGTTCGGATAAGAAATACTAGGATGTAGTTCTTTGGTAAATACGTGGAGCGTTAAGTTGTGGAAGTCGTTAATTGATTCCACACAAATCACCATAAAAAAATCAAAACCTAAGGGGCTGTTTGGATTGATTTTTTAGATAGATAAAATGGGGGAAAGCTGTCAAAAATATTAGTTTTTTGATAGCTTTCCCCCAAAATCACCTTTTATAGAGGTGATTTTGGAGGAAAGCTGCCAAAAAGCTGACATTTTTGTCAGCTTTCCCCTCTTTTACCTATCCAAAAAATCAATCCAAACAGAGTCTAAGTGTTATTCTAGTCTCTCGTGCCAACCTACTAATTGCTAGGTTTATTCTTTTTCTTTTCCTCCTCTTGTTGCCACATCATGCGTTTCTTTTTTAGGATGAAGCTGTTCTTCATGCTAGGAAAAGTATTCCTACTTTAATTTATTAGGATAAATATATTTTTTTTTACCCTGTTTATAACGGCAATTATAAGAAATATTGAAAATTATACATTTCTTAGATCTTATGAGTGCAAAAGCACTCCATTAGAACTTATAAATATTTATTGATAAACACAAAATTATCAACACGTAACTTTTATCACGTGCTTAGCAATTTGGTAAAATGGGTGCAAATATATTGCATGTTAATCACATGCTAAGGGGGTGATAAACAGTTGATGAAAAATTTAACGGAATCTAAACTAAGTTTCAAAATGAGATGTTAATCACATGCTAAGGAGGTGATAAACAGTTGATGAAAAATCTAACGGAATCTAAACTAAGTTTCAAATGAGATGTGATTGAACTTTTAGGGTACCAAAATGTTATATCAATACTTTGGGGCATCAAATTGAAACAAGATCAAAACTTTGGGGCACCAAAGTGAAAAGGGAAAATTTGCAAAATAGACCATTTTTATGAAATATATAGCGAAATAGACCACTTTGAAAAATAATTAGCAAAATAGACCTCTTTTGAAAAAAAAAGTCTATTTTGAAAAATAAGGCTCAGAAAACATACGGGACTACTAGTCCCGTATGTTTAGAGCCAACTAATCACGGATTAGTGACTCAGAAAACATACGGGACTAGTAGTCCTGTATGTTTTAATCACGGATAATCCGTGATTAAAACATACGGGACTACTAGTCCAGTATGTTTTCTGAGCTGTTTTGCAAAATAGACCTCTTTTTTGGCCTGTTGGCCAAAAAGATAACTATTTTGCTAATTATTTAGCAAAACTGTCTATTTGTTAAATAATTAGCTAAAACGGTCTATTTTGCAATTTTTCCCAAGTGAAAATAATCCAACAAACAACCAAAAAAATTCTGTGTTCCCCTCACGAATCTTTCATATTTTGAATAAGTCCTCCACATCATTGAATTTACTATTAGGTCCTTTAATTCTTAAGCTATTTTACAATTATTCCGTCAAATTATTAAAACGTCCAAATTCATACTTATTTTTAATCCTTCAAATTAAGAGTAGAATTAGCCACTGGAGAGATCTAGTTGAAATAATTTATCGGAATCAACGACCACATTAAAAATTTCGAGGTGCAAAAACTCCGGGAGCAAGCATGTGCAACACACTTGCGCTCCTCCTCACTAGTCCTAGTCCTAGTCCTGTACAGAAAAAAGCTGATATCAATATACAATCATCATCATTTTATCTATACACTAGGAGATGTTTGTTTCAAATCCTATAATTTTAGGACATTGATTTCACCATGGGATTTAAAATCCATAGGTGTTTTGTTATGGGTTGAGATTTCTAAAATGTTATTTGTTCCATAAATATTTTGGGATTTGGAATACTATAATTTATAATATTTTATTTGTTTCAATCTCAAATTATAGCATTATCAAATACCAAAATTTTGTAATATGATGAATATACTATCTTGGTGAGGTTACCTCCCACAAAAAGACATAATTGGGATTTGTCAAATCCTCTCCAATTGAGAGGTAAGCACACTCATTTATGGGATTTGTTAAAATCCTCTCCAATTGAAAGGATTTAGCAAATTTTAAAAATTGGGCACTTTTGTACTTTTGGGATTCAATATTCTAAAAAATTTCTTTAAAAAAACACCATATATGTTATCCCAAAATACAAAAAAAAAACTCACTTTTTGATCCCAAAACTTATAATCCATACCAAATGCCAAAATTTTTGGTGAAACAAACATCCCCTCAAAGCTATTAGGTTTCGTACTGTTCATTCTACAGTGCATCTTAATAGAATTAATAAAAGCATTATGCGGACTGGCGAAGGACCAATCCTTATCTTAATTGGTAAGACTTCAGCTTCCAACAAAGACGGCCTCAGGCTTGATGCACGCCACAGAAGTTTGACTCCGTTTCTTTAAAAAAAGACATTTTATTTTATATTAGTCTCTTAAAATTTTCATATTTAAAATTAATCCTCCTCAAATAATTGAAATTGCTACCAGGTTTTCTTTATTTCACTCTGTTCGTTTAAATTTTGGTCTCTTATATCTTTCATAATTTGGAATTAATCCCTCAAATCATTGAAACTGCCATTAGGTCCAACAACTTTTAACTTACTTAGAAATTGGTCCCTCTGATCGTTAAAATTATCACTAAGTCTCCTAATTCTTAAGTTATTCTAAAATTACATTACTCAATGGTAAGTAGCAACAACTAAATATGTGGGAACTAGAGAAGCTAATAGCAGTATGAACAATTTGCGGGACTAATTTTAAAATAACTTTAGCAGTTGAGGATCTAATAGAAATTTTAATGATTTCAGGGACTAAATCAAAATATGAAAAATTTAAGGAATTAATATCGACAGCCTAAAAGATAGGTTTTTAGCTACAAACCCATACTTTCTCCCCATTTATTTTCAGACCCACGCACGTCAAAAAATCACTCTTATGCCTAGACTAATTCATCTAAAGTTTTTACGCAGTTTACTTATGAGCTCATTCATTTCCCAAAATGTTTTTGTCTGCTAAACCCAAAGTTTTACCCACATCTATGTTTAGATCCACCCACCTCGAAGAACTCTTGCACCATAGTATTCCACCTGATTTTTTTTTAAAAAAAAACTCATTTTGTACCTCACTAGATTAGTATACAGTGAAAGATGCATTTTCCCACAACTCTCTATTTTTCATAAGTGATCAGGCACACAATGTAACTGAATATACCCTGCAATTTTTTTCCTGCACCCCATAAATCACCACTTGCCCTCACTTGTGACATCGCAACCAAAAGCAGAATCTGCTTCCTATTATTTAAATTAAAGAACCCAAACCAAACTTCTGTTCCTCATCCGAACACCCTCTTTTGCCACTTGACTCTGGTCGTGTAGCGAGTTAGCGGCTCATGACTCGTTGCCACGTTATCCGAGGTGGTGGTGATAAGCTCGTTTATTTTCTCAAACACGGGCCCTGCTCCTTCAAAAGAGAGACCTTGGACTTGAAAAAGGCCAAATACATAGAGATCATGAGCTTTGGCGCGTAGAGTCATAATACTACGTGACACGTAAATACGCTCTAATTTGGTCGGAGATCTTTGATTTATAATTTTAACTTCTTAAAAAAAATATGTAGTTCCCACATCCGCACTTTTATAGCCAAACAGATGGATATTTTGTACCACACACATATGTTATGGAAAGGGGAAAGAAGTTTACTTTCAGCAAGGACATTTTTTAAAAAAAAGTGGGCTTTTTATCCTACAGCTTGATTCATCGGTTGCACTTTTTCTTAAAACAGTATGGAAATATCAAAGGACAAAGATGCATACATTTCTATTTGTATGTTTAGGGTTTAGTGGATTACGCCTAAACACAAAACTGAAGAAAATGCAGGTTCGAAACATGTAACAAGGTCTGTAAAAGTTTAAACCTGAAATGCATAAAACATCCTTGCACTCCAAAAACACGTGCCTCTTATTCTAAATTGCTTGACTACATTAAAATACTCTCCAACTGCGTTAAGAACACGCATATTATTTAAACGAAACCAACTTCAAGACTGCCTAGCATGTTGCACGCTAACAGCCAACTGTACCTTGAACATCAAAAGGAGCTGCTCAAAATCAGATAAAGCATCACATTGCATGATAACAGACAAATACGACGATGAACGGAGAGGAACTACTCAAAATCACAAGCCTGGTAGAAGTACAATTGGGAAGACACGGTGAGAACGAACCGCCGACGTAACTACCTCACACACTTATAACCCTGCAGAATCGAGATATCAATAAAGCCAGTGGAAATCATAGATAGGAAACGTTCTCAAAATGTTCAAACATGTCAAAGCAGCCTGTACTGGAACAAAAATATACACAACAACTTACATACCAAGTTTTCCGATTATATTAATAACAACATATGTTCTTCTAATATCAGCATTACATAACAAGGGAAATAAACGAAAAGAAAAGGTAAGCCATCATACTCACCCCTGAACGAAATTGAGATATCAACGTGCATTTAGAAATATATACAGAAGCAGCAAACACCACATCTTGACTCCTACACTTTTATTCCCAAACACCACCCGCCACTCTCTACCATTCCTTACACCTACACTATTCCAAGGGTAACACAAACAACAAACAAACATCAAGCACAACAGCAACAAACCAATCTTCTATCTTCAATCTCCTCTTTTACACTCTCATCTCCTTACTTTTCTTAAGCTTATCCTACTCAAAACTGGCAAGAAGTGCCGAGCCTCTGCCTCTGCTTCTGGCCAGCAAGCCCGCACTTCCTCTCACGAAATGCACCTTGAAGCAGCTCCTGGAACTTTTCAAGGAATGAACCCCATTCTTCTTCGCTCATATCCGCCACCTTCACAAAGCTTGCACTTGTAGGCAGCTGTTCTTTTGCACTCCTCCTGTCTCCGCTAGTATTCCCTCTGCTACTGCTGTTGCTCTTGCTGCTAGCTACGCTGCCACGTGGAGCTTTCTCTGTGAGGCTCACACCCTTTAATGAGATGGATAGCTTTGGAACAGCAGGATGTAGCTTGTGTGTATGAGTGAAGAAATTAGGTTTTTCTTCACCGGCGTGACTTTCAGTATCACCGTCTTCTTCCTCCTCCTCCAAGCTCTCCAGCTTTGAAAATGGATTCTTGGAACTCCCTCCACTGAGCCCAAAATGGTGTGGTGGTGGTGTTCTGGGCATCATGGGATCAGTCTCCTCACAATCGATGTCAAATTGGATTTCATCTTCGTCTCTTAGTTCAATTCGTGGAGAGGGCACTTCTCTTTCTGCTACTAACTTTCTTGCTTCAAGACAAACAACCTCCAGCGCGCTAGGCTCTTCTTCCCTGCCTGTAAATTCTCTGCTCATCATCTCCCCAATTTCAGCTAAACAAAGCCCAAAAGCTGCTGCTTCCTTAAGAAAAATCGTGCAGAGAACCAAAACACGAAGACAAGCTTCACGTATCATCGGTAGCTCCATCCGAAGCATATCAGAATCTTTAACTGGATCGAGATTAGCAATGTACTGGAGCTCATCATCTGAGAAAGGGATGGATGCTTGTGGCCAGTGAATCCACTCGAAATAAGGATCCTCCAAGCTCTCCGGAAGGCAGAGGCCATGATCAATTGGTATGAGTTCCATTTGACCACCAAATCTACCGACCCCACTTTCAAGTTTCCTCACTAGCAAGTTTCCAGCGTGCCTGTCGGTGTTCAAGATTCTAACATCAAGTATCCCAATTCTATGCACAGCAGCGACTGAGAAACTCGAGGTACCATGATCACTAGCATCAAAGTCATGAGGAATAAACTGCTGAAATGAAGCAATCTTGCTGATAGGCCTCTTTTTCCTTTCATGAGCCTTGCTATTGCTACAGTTGACTCTGTCATTGACATTGAAAACTGAGTGAGTTATCTTGACAAGAACAGTAGGAGGAACATTGGCAAAGTTATCATAGTCCAAAAGGTATGCTGCAACCTCTCTGAAGCCTGTCTCTCCAACCCTCACTGATCTTTTCAAGCCTGGTTGACCAAGAGCTTTACCAATGAAACCCTTAGGATTGTTTGGGGCAAATGGCTCTTCATCTGTTGGCTTGACAATAGCGACACTCTCACCCCTGCTGTTCCTAAAGTAGTATGCACCCCCAAGGCCACTGTGAACTGGTAAGGGGTCTACACCACTCTTTATAGCTTTAACAACATCCTTAACGAGCTGCTTAGTTCGGGAACAGCCACTTGAGCATCCCAGGACTTCAATCAGGCCACTCCTGTCTCTTTGCTGCAGATCCTTTGAGGTGGGAGAGAGGCAAGGAGTTGAAGAACTCCTGTGAAGCAAATTCCTAGTAAGAAGTAAGGGTGAATCATTTCTTACGGCACGGAGATCATCCTTTAGCACGAAATCCCCAAAGGTCAGTGAGCTCTCATCAGTAGGAACATTGAGGGCTAACTGAAGCTTCCTTTTTACAGTATGGGCATTATCCCGACGATCCAATTCAATACCTAAGACACAGCCAGTATCGGTTTGAACAAAAACACGTCTCCTGCCAGCAGGATTTCCTTCAGATTTCTTTGGGCCATGGTACTCACTACTGAGAGCTCGATTTAAAACTGCAACTGCCACTTGAGTCTGAACAGGGCTATCTAAGTTAGGAGACATGGAGCAGGGGAGAAGTGGAGCCGGCTAGAAAAAGGGTGACCTTTTTCCTCTTCTTCTCTCTAGAGCGCACGCCAAACACAGAGGCTGACGCGGTCAAGGAGAGAGGAAGATGTAGTGAAGAAACGATCATGTAGCAACAGACTAACAATTGGACCACACTCAAACCCAAGACAGATAGCAAATAGAGTTGGAGTTGAAGATGAAATGAAACGCTCCCCCTTACATTGGGGAAGCCATTTGTTCCTACTCTGGATAGAAACTGACAAAACTCTGTGCACAAAAACATTTGACCATGGTTAGTGCCATGGGATAAGCAACCTAGTTTCATGTGAGAAAATGTAACACCGTGCAGAAGGAGGGAAATTACAAAAAAGAGTATTAAAACATATAAGAAGTTCCTCGCAGGGAAAGCAATTGATTCAATTTATGTACATGTTAAAATCCACAAATCCAAGAACCACTATTATGCAGGCTAAACTATCATGCTAACATTATAATGCCCTGATAGGATATCTCATATACACATGCATGTACGTGTATAATTACCAAAAATTGGGAAGATGCCGATTTGGCAAATAATATAAATATCGAAAACAATATTGACAGAAGATTAAAGTAATGTTACGAAGGGACAATTAAGCACTTAATTGACTGTCGTTAGATAATAGCCTCAACATTATTGCATTTATATTCTGTAGAATGAGCAACAGAATTTAAAACATAACAAACAAAAAAAGAACAAACTGTATGCTCCATGCAAGACGACACTGACATTTTTCCTAAAAGAACAAAAGTAGTTTGAGAAAGGACAAGTTAAAACTCTCAAATCCTTATACACTCACCAAGCGAACTTTACACAAATCTAGGTAGAGCCTTTCACATGTATCTAGATGATCTACAAGAAAATCACCAATATAGTCTAAAACCAAAATAGCAATGTCATCTAAGGAGCTGTTTGGTTCGATTTCTATATAAAAAAAGGAAAAGGAAAAGCGCCCAAATTTTGATTTCCTTGTATTTCTATAAAAATTTGTAGGAAAAGTTTATAGAACTCAAAAGTAGTTCTTGTTTTTTGTTATTTCTTTGTTCGGTTCAAAACATGAAAAGTTTCTAACTTTATAGAAAATAGGCCGTTTTCTTTTTCTTTTGTTTGGTTGAATATCGCTTTATAAAAAAATTGGTTCCAAACTAGCCCATGGGAAATCACTTGGGGGTGGAGAAATGGAGTACTAGTGTAATTGATTATTTTTTTAATACAAATGTCAGAATTCTAGGCAATTTCCTCCCATTAGGGGAGGAAGTTAATTTCTATAAAATACCCCACTTTTTCTACTTTATAGAAAAGATTTCTATAAAATCTTTTTTGAACCAAACACAATTTATAGAAATCTACAGAAATCTATTATTTATAAAAATGTCATTGTTTGGTGTTTTCTCAAAACTTTTTTATAAAATAGGCGAACCGAACACCCCCTAATACTAGAATGAACAAAGTTTTGATACGACAGAAGTATTTTCTTATATTAGTTAAGAGGAACACAATATAAAGTTTGTATCTGACTATATGTAGCAATAGTTATATGGACATAAAAATATTAAATAGTAAAAGCAAAAAGTCCGAAACTTCATAGGGAAAATGCCACAAAAAAGGGGAGGCATTTTGTATTTTGTTTAAGAAAAGGGAAGGAAAAAAGACAACTTGATTCACAAAACAAACAATACTAAACATTTCAGCTAATAATAAAGTAATGAATTCCAAAAGGATTTACAAAGCTCTTACAATAATAAAATACATACTTTTTTTCTAACCGGTGCATTAGTAAAAGCGAGCAAAAAAACTCCGATTCATGAACGATTACAGATCGAAGTTGAAGATGCAACAAAAAGAACTTTAGGTATTGAAGCTAAGCATTAAGCAACAAAATATTCAAATGTATAGCATATATTAAAAAGTTCAATAATTTCTGTCCAGATCCAAGGGCTTCTGTCCCCTAAGATTCTAATATCAGAAAATCAAAATACTTAGGAAATTGTTTTTCCCCCCTTAAAAAGGTGTTTAATCAGATGATGGATCTATCTATTAATAAAAAAATATCCTGCTTTCTCGAACTATTCACCATTTCCAATCTCATCAAAAGACTTTTCGTCAATGAAGCAATCACGCCCAAATAAATAAGTCAAAAAAAAAAGTAGCCAAAGGCTCGATTCATTTGCGCCGTGAACTCTACTACAGTAAACAGAAGAAAAAGCCCTCAACTCATCAAATCAATCCAGCTCTAAATCGTACAAAGCCTTAGATTCACATCAAAATCTCAATAGACGAGAGAGAAAACGCACCAGATAACGAGATCTGGTCAAATAGAACCCCGATCGCCTCCTTCGTCGGCGACCGCGACGGAGATCAGAGATCCACGGCCTGGACCCAAGCAGGATGAGGAACTGGGGTTCAGATCCAAAGAAGCGCGCTTGAAATCGAAAGAAAAGTGATCGCTTTTGCCCTAAAAATCTCGCGCTCAACTCTTTGTACTTTTGCTCTTCGCTCTTCTTGTCCCTCTCCTCTCGCTGTGGGCTCGCGCTCCTCTATAAACTCTCGCGAGGACGAACGGGGGTTAAGAAACTAACTGGGGTTAAGCCAATGACCGGTTACCTTTTAATGTATTAATTGCCTATTTTTCAGAAACGTACATGAAGTCTTTGGTTTTTGTGTCCTCGGTACTCGATTAGGAGAGTTTCCCTGTGATCATTATTTATGGACATAATTACCCTTCTCCGGAGTAGATGGAGATCAAACAATTTTTCTTTTTTTCTTTTTTTTCTTTTTTAATGTATCATGTGTTCTTTAAAGTTCAATATGAACCTAATCTAACCCCCCTAAGTCTAAGTATCTCATCAATTAGGAAAAAGGGAAAAATGTGTCAATGCCTCAAAAGCACTAACTTCATGTGCTGCAGCCACTTCACTTTTCTCACATGTGGTTCAGCCTCTTAAAATGTGGCATCTTGTGCTGCAACCTTCTTTTAGCATTTATTACATGTCAACTACGTAAAAATTCCCAAAATGTAATTATCTCATCTCCTCAATCCCTCAAAACCCAGCCCCCCTCTCTCTCTCACAAGCTCTCATCTCCTCTCTCTCTCTCTCTCTCTCTCTCTCTCTCTCTCTAAAACCAAAGGGCTTTCTCAAGCTCGTCGTCCTGGCCCTCGCCCTCCTCGCCGTCGTCGCCTCCGCCCAGGCCCCGACGCTACCCCCATCCCAACCCTCAAGCCCTCACCCAAACCCTCACTGAAACCCCCCCTCCCCCACCTAAAATTTTCAGGTGGAGGGTGCAAATAATGGAGAGGGGAGTCAAGTTGTTGCAGCTAAAGCCTGGAGGCGTTAATTCTATTATTCAAGTCACTGCTCTTAAAGACATGCCAAAGAGAGAGCTTAGAGTTTCCAATCAAATCATGTCCCTGTTTTAGGATAATTATCCTGAAATGGTTGCTCGAAAGGTGGATTTTTGGGTTTTTTTTTGATGATTTTTGTGTTTGGGTTTTGATTTTTATGGGGAGATTTGTGATGGGTTTGTTTGAAATTTTTTTGTAGGTCTAATACATGAAATTAAACTTAACACGAACTTTTATTATACTTAACACAGTTAGAACTAACACAGTTCGTGTTAGAACTAACATGAACCGAGTTAGAACTAACACAGTTCATGTTAGTTCTAATTCATGTATTAGACCTAACACGAACTGTGTTAGCTCTAACTCGGTTCATGTTAGTTCTAACACGAACTATGCTAGTTCTAACTCGGTTCATGTTAGGTCTAATTTTATGTATTAGACCTAACACGAACTGTGTTTGTAAGGACCGTGAATTTTTAATACTAGTTAAAATACTTTTCTGGTATTTTAAAATATTTAATTATGATTTTTAAAAGAATATTTGTATTTTTCTCGAATTTCTATAATTTTCTATGATTTAAAGTTTAAGTTTTATATTTATTTAAATGATTTAAATATTTATAAATTTATTTAGCGCAGTAAAAAATTTTTAGAATTTATTCGTTGTGTTACCGATACTATTACGTATCATTTTAGATAATACATGGTATTATTATTATTATGTATATTTTTATATAATACGTTGTATTATTAATTACGTATTATTTGTATAATTTTTTGTATTATTTCTACTGTTGCATATTATCGATCGTATTAGTACAACTGGTACGTTTTACTGTGTATATAATTATCCCATAATTATATGATTTTAAATATAATCCCACATCATCAAACCCAACCGCCACCTAACATTTTTTCTCTCTCTCTCCTCTCTCTCTCTTCAACTCTCTCTCTCTCTCCACACAATTCAGGACCACCGCCTCAGCCTCAGCTTCGCTGTCGTCGGCGCGAACACCAAGACCCGCACCACCCGACCACCCAGTCCGACCACCGCCCTCATCGACCGCCTCAAGCTTGCCGCTCCCTCCCCTGCAGATCCGTCCGACTGCCCCATCTCCTCGACCACCGCGCCGGCCAGCACCTTAGACCCCGCCTCCGTACCCTCCACGATGAACCGCCTCCTCCTGCCAGCACTGCCAAGCACCGCCCAGCACCACCCCTTCGCGCTCGCACCCGCTCTTCCCGCCGCCGCCTGCTTCTCTCCGTCACACGCACCCCGACAGCCGACCTCACAAGTCCGCCGTCGCCTCCAGCCCCTCTGCACCTGCCCTTTGACCAAGGCTCTCTTCTCGCGCCGAGCACGCAATAGGCAGCCCTCGGCCAACTCTCCTCGCTACACAGCCGCCTTGACCTCCTTGCTCCAGCCAACGCAGCCACTGCCTTTCCCACGTCGCCTCATCAAATCCCGCAGATCCCAACCACTACACCGACCGACGCCTTCAGAGCCCCGACACCCACGCAGCAGTCCCTCTTCTCTAAACAAGCGCACACGATTCGCGCCGTTTGCTCTCGCCCTCGAACCTTAGCTTCGGTCGACGCCACCGTACGATGCTCAGTCACAGTCCACCCCTCGTCGTCGACGAGCGTCGCCAGATCCGCAGAGTCCTACCGGAGCTCCTGTCGACGCCGCGATCTACCGCTGTTCCGATCGCCCCTGTTCGCCGCCCCGACAACCACCTGAGCCGCTCCCCCTGCCCCGTCAGCCCCTTGAACCACCTCCAGCAAGTCCTCTTCCTCCTCCGTACGCCGTCCTTCGCCGGCGAACTCCAAGACCCGTCGCTATCGTATTGTGCTCCGTCACAGTCCGCCCCTCGTCGTCGACGAGCGTCGCCGAGATCCCGCAGCCCCTCGTCGGAGTTCCCCGACGTCGCGCACCACCACGTCAGATTCGACCCGCGTCGTTAGCGTCGATTCTTTCGACAAAACCCGAGGCAAGATCCCGTTGCTCAGTTTGTCATTCTTTACATTTTAGATTGTTATGAATTATCTGCATATTCTGAATTGTGAAATAATTATCTACGTGGGTTGCTTGGTGAAATAATATTAGATAAATCATGATAATCCGATAAATAACATTTTCAGAATGATTATAATCTTAAAAGAAGATATTTCGATATCAGAATTATTTTGAGATGATTATGCTAATTTAAAAAGAATTTATTTTGAGAACAGAATCATTTTAGATAATTATAATAATTTAAAAGAAACTATCTTGGAAGAAGAATATTTTTTAGAATAATTATAAATAAATTAAAGGAATTTATTTTGAAAAGGGAATTATTTTAGATTAATTTTAATTAGAAAAGAAATTATTTTGTAAGAGGAAATATTAAAAAGAATGTTTTTAGAATTATTTAAAAGGAGTTATTTTGGAAAATGGAATTATTTTTGGATAATTATAACAAGAAATAAAAAATTTATGTCGGATAAGGAAATCATTTTGAAGTAAATAAATTTATTAATTTAAAGGATTATTTTTTAATGTGTGATTCTCATTTTAATTATGTGATATGCCATGATATCGTTGCGCATGATTGTTGTACTTATTGTTTCCTATTGTGTTTGAGAACACCTAGCAGTTCATGACTTAGTGGCCTCGTGCGTCATGAACAGACTTAGTGATATGTGTGAGTGTGTTGACTGAGTTTAGGTGGTGAACCCGAGTTAATAGAAATTATGATTGTTGATTTAGACAAATAAGAAGAGTTGGGATGGGGAAGTCCATGTTCATGTGATCGGATATAACTGTTGATGTATCTTCCAGGCTCGCCCCATGATCCAGTGTAGCTTGGGGTTAGTTTGTTGGGTCAAAGTGAAGCCAGTGTAGTCACTTTGGTCCATGAATTTGATATTCACCCGGGTTTTTCTTGAGTTCGAACCAGGCTGAAAACGGATTGTGTGTAGCCCTCTGACCGATCCAGTGTAGCGGCGTATTGGGTGCACGTAGAAGATTTGTGAACAGTCAGTTATCCGATGATATAAGTGTTGATTCTATGTGAGATGTGGACCAGTGAGTTGAGATAGGATGGTTAGTTACATGACCTCGATTCTTGGCTAAGTATGATTCTTGTGAGATGTAGGCCAGTTGTGTTTCTTTTCATACATAGATCGGGGCTAATATTTAATTATCTACAATTTGAGATATATGGTATATACATGAGGGTTTCCTTGTTTGGATTATTTCGCTCGACGTACTACGTCTCATGTTATAGATTTTTAAGTATTAATTCCATCTAGTTGTATGACCTTGTGACTTGGATGATTTCTGATCGCTAGCCGCATGATCGTCTTCTTACTTGATTGATTTTATTGGATTTCCCGTTGCATGTTTCTTTATCATTTCTGTTGTTATATCGTTTTCGCATTGGGTTTTCGTTCGCTCTATTTGTTTTGTGGGATCTTGCCGTGTCCCATGCACCCTGACGTACACCTATTTTCTCTGGTGTACGTCTTTTGTAGTTCTTTCCATTCCTGCTTGAACGATGTATTTTGTATCTCTTCAGTATTCATTGTTCAGATATGTATAAGGGCATGTTTGACCCATATATTATGTCTCGGATGTTATCCTATTTGTGATATGATATTTTTATTCTGAGTTTGTCTATTATATTCTTGCTGATTGTGACCGGGGACCTGTAACTTCGTATTGTATTTATTTCTAGACGCTTAGCGTATTGGATTGAGAAGAAAAGAAAAAAAAATAGTAGTGTATATTTCTTCTCAATCTAATACGTCGCGGGCTTGTTCACGTTCCGATTCCCCGATATTTTGGGAAACGGGGCGTGACAGTGTTAGTTCTAACTCGGTTCATGTTAGTTTTAGTTGTGTATTAGAACTAAACACGAACTGTATTAGTTCTAACTCGGTTCATGTTCTCCTCTCTCTATAGAGGGTTTCTCTGTAGAATCTTTTTCTGGATACTCTGATATTTAGTGTCTTGGAAAAGTCAACCATATCTCTTAGTTATTTTAAGCAGCTGTGTTTACAGTTTGTTTCTCTTTACATGCAATGTTTATTAGCTTCCTTTATTTAATGGTGCAGATACCTTCCAGACACCATAGATGTAGCTGGTGGGAGGCAACAAAGGTCATCATCAGGCTGTGAATGTTAGGATTATAATCCCATG